TTATTTATTTGTTTGTTTATTTATTTATTTATTTAACTTATATCCCGCCCTTCCACATGGGCTCAGGGTGGCTAACAAGAGGCAATTGCCATACATAACACTAAAACCAGATAAAACAATCAAATTGCATTTTACATTTAAAATCGGTGCTCACAACAATATATCATCTGAGACGGGGACTCCAATGCAATGTTTCAGAGGGCAGTACTGTCTCTTCTTGATCGGTCTTCACTCTGTCCGTTCTCCATACCCAAGGCCACTTCACGTCGCCAAAATGGTAACGCGGTAGTGGTACAGTGATGGTGGCGGCTCCTACTCAAAAACCTGGTGGAAGAGCTCCATTTTGCAGGCCCTGCGGAACTGCATAAGGTCCCGCAGGGCCCTGATCTCCTCTGGGAGCTCGTTCCACCAGATAGGAGCCATCACCGAAAAAGCCCTGGCCCTAGTTGCAGCATATTTAACATCTCTAGGGACTGGGACGACCAAAAGATGTTTTGCCCCAGACCACAGTGCCCTTGGGGGAACATATGGGGAAAGGCAGTCCCTTCGGTAAGCTGGACCCTGGCCATGTAGGGCTTTATAGGTAAGAACCAGCACTTTGAAGCAGACCTGGTACGCTATTGGTAGCCAGTGCAGCACCTTCAAGACAGGCTGGACATGATCCCGCCTAGAGAGACCCATCAACAGCCTGGCTGCTGCATTCTGCACCAGCTGCAGCTTCTGGATCAGCAACAAAGGCAGCCCCATGTAGAGAGCATTGCAGTAGTCTAACCTCAAGGTGACCATCGCGTGGATCACTGTGGCCAAGTCATCGCGGTCAAGGTAGTGAGCCAACTGCCGTGCCAGCTACAGATGGTAGAAGGCTGACTTGACAGTGGCAGCTACTTGGGCCTCCATCATTAAAGAGGAGTCCAGGAGCACCCCCAAACTCCTAACCCTCGGCGCCGGCACCAAAGACGACCCATCGAAGGCCGGGAGAGGGAGCCCCAACCCTGAACCGACCCAACCTAAGTCCCGGACCTCTGTCTTCGCCGGGTTTAGCTTCAGTTGATTCAGCCTGAGCCAACCAGCCACAGCTTGCAATGCCCGATGAAGGTCAACCGGGTTGGAGTCCGACCAGCCACCCAACATTAGATAGAGCTGGGTGTCATCTGCGTACTGATGAACCCCAGCCCATAACTCCGAGCAATTCGGGTGAGGGGGCGCATATAGATGTTAAATAGTATTGGGGACAGCACTGCCCCCTGAGGCACCCCACACTCAAGACGATGCCTCCGGGAGCACTGATCTCCAATCGACACCCTCTGTCCCCGACCTTGGAGAAAAGAGGCAAGCCATTGAAGGGCAAGCCCCTGAATCCCCACGTCAGCAAGGCGGTGGGCCAGCAGCTGATGGTCGACCGTATCAAATGCGGCCGACAGATCTAACAGCAGCAATGCTGCCACACCACCTCAATCCAGATGCCTTCGGAGATCGTCTGTCAGGGCAACCAGAACAGTCTCTGTCCCGTGACCCGGGCGAAAGCAGGACTGGAAGGAATCCAGGACTGAAGCATCATCCAGAAAGCACTGTAACTGTGTCGCTACCGCCCTCTCTATCAATTTGCCCAAATAGGGCAAATTGAACACTGGCCGATAGTTGGCCAATTCGGCCGTGTCCAGAGATGGCTTTTTTAGGAGAGGACCGACCATCGCCTCCTTGAGTGCTCCGGGGAATCGTCCCTCAGCAAGGGTCTTGTTGACAATCTCCCGCAAAGCACCTCGAAATCCCTCATGACCCGCCTTAATGAGCCAGGAGGCTCATTAAGGTCACATGTGGTTGGGTGCACATAAATGAGCAATCTGTCAGCTTCGTCCAGGCTGAGTGGGCTAAAGCACGCTAAACCCAGAACCGAAGACTCGCAAGGGGCCTCGAGTTCACTCACTGTCTCAATCGTGGTGGGGAGGTCGCGGCGGAGCGTCAGGACTTTATCTGCAAAATAGCTCGCAAAAGCCTCACAGCCAATGTCCAATTCCCTATCATTTCGCCTGCCCTGTGGCAGCTCTGTCAAGGACCGAATCGTACTAAATAATTGGGTTGGGCATGAGCTTCCAGATGCAATGTCAGCTGCAAAGAAATCCTTCTTAGCAGCCTTGGCTGCCATCTCATAGGATCTCATAAACGTCTTATAAGATGCTCTTGACGCCTCGTCGTGAGCACGACGCCACCGTCTTTCTAGTCATCTCAGTTCTCGCTTCATCAGCCACAGCTCCTGGGTATACCAAGGAGCCCGCCTCAGTCGAGTTCGCAGAGGACGCCTGGAAGTGATCTTGTCGATGGCTGTGGAGAGCCGGACTTGCCAGTCCTCCACCAGCTCATCCAATGAGCCGCCAGGGGGCCTCGAATCCCGCAGAGCTCTCTGAAACCGCAATGAATCCATCTGGCTTTGCAGATGAGCATAAATCTGCTCACCACCTACAAAAGGTCGGGGTGGAACATTCAGACGGGCCTTCAGGGCCAGGTGGTCAGACCATGGCACTGCCTGCCTCAGCAGAAATCCGATCCACCACCACCCCCGCTGCAAAGATCAAATCGAGCATGTGACCAGCCTGATGCGTGGGGGCCGATACAAACTGCGAGAGTCCCAATGCCGTCATGGATGACATAAGGTCCGTAGCCCAGCTGGAGGTCGCATCCTCGGCATGGACGTTGAAATCACCCAGGACAATCAGTCTAGGGCGATCCAACGGCCACCCTGATATGGCCTCCAGCAGGGACGGCAGGCTACTGGCCGGTGCATTAGGCGGTCAGTACACCAGCCAGATCGCCACACTCTCCACAGCCTCCAGCATCACGCCAACACACTCTAAGCCCGCGATCTCCATGGATGGGAGCGCCCTGAAGGAGTAAGCCTCCCGAATGAAAATAGCCACACACACACCCACCCCCTAGTCCATGATTGGTGAAGGATCGAATAACCTGGTGGGGCAAGCTGGATGAGAGCTACCATCTCACCCTCCCTCACCCAGGTCTCGGTCACGCACGCCAGGTCCACCTGATGTTCCAAAACAAAATCCCGAAGGGTTGTGGTTTTGTTGTTAATGAACCTGGTGTTGCACAATACCAATGACGGAAGGGGGGTTATCAGTCCTGGCCCCACTGCCAGCCACCCTTGGGATGAGCCGTAGGCTGGAAGGGCGCCGAGCAAACTCCGCCCTTGGTGCGGAGGTGTGGTTCATCAATCCCTCGGTTAAGCGCATGGGGAAAAAATGGAACAAAAAACCCCTGACTCACCCGCAGTTGCATCTGATCACGCACTGACGGACTGTGCCTGCAACTTCAAAGGGAGGTGTGATCGTGCAACTGCGGGTCAAATTTCTCCGGAGGAAATAGCCTCGCCTCCCCCCCCCTGTTTTTTCTGGCACGTGTGACCGCAACCTTAGATTTAGGGGGGAGGTTAATTCATTTTCTTTAATATCACTATTACAAGTGATTTCTTTGTTACATTTGTTATTCATTTCTGTTGCTTTCAGTAGAAAACACTTCCAGTCAACTTTTTCCACTTGTCTGACTGGAATCAAATTTTCAAAAGATAATATTCTTGCACAATGGATACTTATTGGCAAACTTCAGAGAGAGAGCAATAATTGCCCCAGTTGAATAGCCCATTTAAGTTTTCACAGAGCAGATGGAGGCAGATGTTTGGCAAACCCAGTGCATGGGCACAACGAGAGGTCATTTTGGGGGGTGCAGGGGGTGGGGCACATGACGAAGCCCCGCCCCCTGCTTCCGGCCGCCCCGCTTCCAGCCCTCATTCAGCCAGGAGGAGGCAGGAGAAGAGGGAGGGTAAGTTGCTTCCTCCCCGCCTCTCCCCACCCATGCCTGCCTGGGGCCAGGGGGGGCCTTGGCGGGGCTTCCTCGCACTCCCGCTGGCCTTGCAGGTCCACTGCCAGGCCCCTGATGTCAGGGGGTGTGGTATATGCTAATGAGTTATGCTAATGAGTTCCCCTAGCTCTTTTTCTACGAAATGACCCCTGGGCACAACGGAGGATTCTTGTATACGAGTTTGCCTGTTCTTATCTAAAGTGAGGGACCTTCCCCCCCCATGCAGGCCCGTAGCTAACATGGGGCCCACGGGGCCCGGCCCCCTTGTGTTTCTTCTGGGCCCCCTCCCTCCAGGGCTGCCCCCAAAGTGCTCCAACTTACCACCTGCACTGTACTTCCATTTAATTAGCTGGCGGCCCCCCCAAGGCCCCCTCCCAAAGAAGTCCCTAGCTACGGGGCTGCCCCCATGCCTTACTCTTCTACATTCTGGTGCTTGATTCCAAATTCCAATACTAGAAATGAGTTTAACTGGGAGGAAATGTTCCAATTGTTGCACATTTTCCCCCTTCAATTTGGATCAATTATAATGATATTAAAGTACAAGGTATTTTTTGGTTTTGAGGTTGTATATAAATATGCTCTTTCCTAGAATATAAATGATTTACTATGACAATGAGCCATGATTAATAATGGTCACAGCTCAGAAATATAGTGTGGTTATCTTACAATTACTTGAAAAACTGCCTATTGAGTACACAGACACACAGATAGCTGGCATGGAACTTCACGGGCAAGTAAGCTCTGGATCACAGCCAATGTGTTTGATTTGGGCTTGATACGATGTGTTTGATACGATGAAAGAATCCAGAAACTGACAAACTTACATTACCAGTAGTGAAGGGCGGTCCCTGTTCTTATATGTGTAGGCTAAATAAATCATTGCTGTGCATTCACAGTGCTTACCCCAATATTGGGGCACAGGGACAGCCCAGTATACTTTTGCAAGTTCGGCCTTAAGCTATGGAATTTTAGAAGTTTAATCAGCTAATTTTTTAATTTTTAAAATGTATTATATTAGTAACACTGACTCACTTTCTTTGGAAATTCATCAGGGTTCAAATTTATGTATACTGGATGCAAAATTAAACATTTATTGAATCTCCCTTTAATGTATAGCAATTTTAATATTTACTCAGAAATCAATGAAACCATCTTCTGTACCAAGGACCTAATTGAAGTGGAAATCCCAAGTACTTTCTTTCTGTCAAAGAACCCTCCAATATTAGTAAGTACTCTGACTTAACCATTTTAAATAAAACATTACAATCTGAACATTTTTTGGTTTTTATTTTGGATACTGCCCAGTTTCTTGTCATAGCTGGTAACTTTGATCAGCAAGTTTAGTATACATAACAGAACATTATTTGTTATCAAAATCTTCCTTGTCATCTCTCTCTCTGTGTGCAGTTTGGTATAAGAGCTCAGTGGTTTCATTTCTACATAATTTAAATATCAATGAGATTAGCAAGTACACTTCTTTACTTTTAAGGGAACATTTATTGGAAACCGATGCCTGGCTCTGATCTGTACATTTATGGCTTCGTTATGCTGTAATTGCCTGGCTGCTGCCAATCAGGTGGATAGAAAATGCGGCCTGATTTATTTCAGAAAAAAGCCACATCATTTATGGGCCAAAGTGAAGTATTTTAGATGGGGAGATTTAGAGGACATGACTGCTGGAAGGATTTGATGCTGCAGATTCCACTGTGCAGTAGTCTGCTGCAACTAAGCACCTGACTGGATTTCTACAAATAACAATTGCCGTTATCACAGAAGGTACCTGTAAGCAAGAAGAAAAGATGGCACATAAGATTATCACTTGAGAACTGGTTGTGTACATTGGATAACAGCCATACTTATATGATTCTGTAGGAACAAGAGAACTCCCTCCTTCAGTTAATAGAGGGAAATATGAAGCAAGAGGGGGTGGAATCCTCATTCCATAACCCCTGCCAGGAAAGGGTGGCCTCGCTGGCATCTAATTATGCAGTACCTCTAAGTGAAATGCCAGGTTTTAGAGCCAGGATGTATTTATTCGATATAGCAAGTATACACATGATATAAGATGATGTCATCTGTATGGCTGAGAAACAAAGAGTGATTGCTTTTCTTTGCAGATCTCTGATTTGCACCTTAACGATCCAGAATGCCATGGCACTGAAGTAGGAAACCTGTACGTGTTCAGCATTAAGACCAATTTCACAGATTGTGGAACAAGACTGGTAATATACAATGTATCCATGTCTTTGTCTTTTTATATGGTTTTTTTGAACACCGCATTTTGTCCTCCTGGCTGCTGCTTATTTAGTGCAGGAAGGGACTGGTTTTAAGGAACGTCATGATTCTACTTGCATTTAATTTAACATGGACCTTAATAACCATCTGTCTGTCTCTAAGTCTTAACGCGAGCCATATGCATCACTGAGACATTGAGAATGTCTGTGGACATATTTTATGTGCAGATTCTCCTTATTGTATACATAGATGTCCTAGACCTCAGCACTACATGATTCTATGCTTTAGAAACAAAAGCCATAAACATATATAGCGTGCCAGGAAGTATACCTGTACTATCTATAAATTTTGTTTCATTTCGGTCATGGCATGTCTCAGAATTATGTAGATTACTGCTTCTGGGAACATGCGAGTAGGGTTAACAGTTAGGAGCCTTTCAGAAGTGGGAATATTTGTGGGTAGAGATTGGGGGAAATGACATCATGGTGTCATGACATGCGCTAGGAGTTTTTACCATAGAGATTGGAGAATTTCCTGGAGTTTCATGCAATGCTGTCCTCCTCCAACTTTGTTCCTGTTCCTCCATTGAGTGAGGCTAGAGGCTGGAGCAGGGGATCAGTGGGAGTGGACAACCTAGTAAGTCTAAGTTCAGTTAAACACTAGACATTAAGGACAGAATCAGCTTGCAGAATAAGATTACCAGCCTCAAGGAGAGACCTGAAGTTCTCCCAGAATTACACTTGATCTTCAGGCACGTTCAAAGGGTGGGCTCTATGGTATCACCTTTCTTCCCTAAACTCCACCGTCTCTAGGAATCACATCCAAATCTCCAAAAATCACCTAAGCCAGAGTTGACAACCCTACGAGGCATGCAGCATTTTGGCCCAGCATGTGTCACTCACATCACGTAAGGTAAAGGTAAAGGTTCCCTTGCTCAAAAGCCAGTCGAATCCGACTCTAGGGTTGCGGTGCTCATCTCTGTTTCAAAGAGCCAGCGCTGTCCGAAGACATTTCCGTGGTCATGTGGCCGGCATGACTAAACACCAAGGCGCACGGAACGCTGTTACCTTCCCACCAAAGTGGTACCTATTTATCTACTTGCAATTTCTTGCTTTCGAACTGGAAGGTCAGTTCGAGACCCGAGTGTGCCGCATGACAGAGTGAGCTCCCGTCTCTAGTTCCAGCTCCTGCCAACCTAGCAGTTCGAAAGCAAGACATTGCAAGTAGATAAATAGGGACCACTTCGGTGGGAAGGTAACAGTGTTCCGTGCACCTTGGTGTTTAGTCATGCCAGCCACATGACCACGGAAATGTCTTCGGACAGC